CCTATCCTAACAAACCATACATGAATGGAAAGCATATTTGTTTAGCTTTCAGATGATGTATAAATCTCAATTTCAAAAAATTGACCCTTATGACTGGTTTTGTGGTCCAGGGTCACATATTATTCGTTGATTTGAAATAGGAGAGCAGCAACATTGCCAAGTTTCTTGCACTATTTAAAATGCATTTTAAAGGGTAAATAAACCCATAAAATAATGTTCACCTGATGTCTAGCAACAACTAAAGGGAATTTATCTTTCTCTTATTTTACCCTTCACACAAAAATACTTGTAAAGTTGACATCCTGCAGCGTGACGCTCTATTTAAAACTGCATCTTAATTCTTTTATGATTATTCCTACAGTAATTCTAAAATTGCTATAATTCCTACTTGCTGTGAGGTGACTGATTATACACATACCATTTCTACAGTTTAGCCTACAGCCATCTGAATGTATTCTAAATCTAGAAATAGTGTTAGATTTATTTCTGAACACAATTTTCTTTTCAAATGTTTCTTCCTCAAAAGTAAGGTAGCGTGGGTGAAAACGCTCCCTTGGGGTAAAATGCCCCCCTACTGTTATAAAATAAAATAACCTCTAGATAAAGTCAGGATACCTTTCTCTTGTTGCTATGGACTACGTTGACAAGAGTGATGTAGAAGTATTCACTGCGAAGCTTACACTGGCGACATACCTATAAGAGAAAAGAATATCAAGTTAAGTGATCTCATTTTCAGCAATAAGAAAAAAAAAAGTGTTTTAAAGCTTGTTTTGCAGAACTTCATAGCTATGTATGATATGAGAATAGTATAAAATATAATTATATTTTTGGAATGACTTTTTTTTTTTTTTTCAAAAGTAGTCTGTGGGGTAAAATGCCCCGAACCACTTGGGGTAAAACATGCCCATGGGGCATCGCATCCTTTGTTTTTCCATAAAATTTAATCTAACAAGGTGGCTGACTAAATATATTTGGACTTTACATTTAAAAATGACCTCAGGTTAGCATTGGCTATTTAGTTAGCAAGCCAGTTGGTATCAGCTAACAATAGGCTGATTTTTAGCGTGGTTCATTAACAAATATTCATAGTTATCTACTGCTATTACTGTTCTCTTTCAAACAATCGCTCGGTATCTCACTATGGGAAACGCCCCAGGCGTGATAGACTATGGAAGCACCAATTACACCACGTCTGTCCGAAGGCCGGACCAATCACAGCTCATGACAAGGAGCCCACCCCCCCTCCCTATATATATGGCTGTGATCCCCGAAAACAGCATTCTTGTTCTCTTCGCCGTGAAGACTTTCCTTCAGCTCCTGTTCTGCGCTGCTTCAGTTCACAAACGTACCGTCAAGGTAGACGTTGCCGAACGCAGTGCAGTTAAAATCTGTTGTGGATTCTCTGCTCGTTACTGAGTTTTTTTCTAGCTAACGCGTTAAGGCGAGCTACGTTACTGAGTTTTTTCTAGCTAACGCGTTAAGGCGAGCTAAGATTATTCTACTCACCATGTCGGGGTCCAAAGTCGCAGCGGAGAAAGGGAAGGATGTCCCTTCGCGCTCGTGTTCGGCAGCTTGTGGATTTATGATCTCGGGCAGGGATTCGCATCCGATGTGTATCGCGTGCATGGGTGTTAAGCACGCTCAGGCCACGCTGGCGGATCGCCAGGATCTTGGAAAGAAGGCTTTAGGTGGCTGCATCTTCTAAAGAAGATCCGGTCCTATCTTCTGTCCCTCCTTCAACAAAGGTGGTCCAACCCTCTCCCCCACGGGATCTTTCTTCGTGGGGGGATATTATGGATTCAGAGTCTCCTGAGTTTACGCCGCTTTTCGACCAGCAGCTGCTTGCGAAAGGCGATGTGGAGGGAGACGAGGAGGAGGATGAGGAGATGTTAGCTTGCCTCCTCCGAGATGAGCCGGATGATGATGAGGATGATGCTATCCTGTCTGCAGCACAAGCGTCTAGGCCCGTGAGCGCGCAAAGCGGCGACGTGGCGTCGATGGTGGTAGATTGTGACCTAGAGGAAGTTTGTAAGCGTGCGGCAGCTAAGCTTGGCATCTCTTGGCCCGTAACTCCTGGGTATCCGGGAGTTAAAAGTAACATCTATGATGGGAAAAGGCTACCTTCTCGCCTTTCACCGGCGAAACAACTGCTTCCCGCTTTGCCGGCGTGTGTAGCAGAGATGAAGCGATCGTGGGACAAACCCTTTTCTCATCGTGTGCCCGTCAAGGGATACTCGTCGCTCGATGTGAGTGAAATGGAAGGGCTTGGGCTCTCGAACCCTCCCACGGTCAAACAGTCAGTGGCTCACCACCTGCATCCAAACAGACGAACCACTCTTTCATCTGCTAGTCCCTCCATCCCTGGGAAAATGGAACACTTCACCGTTTCCATGTACCAAAAAATGTATAAATCCTCAGCATTGGTAGTGCGGGCACTTAACGTCACTTTGTTGTTGACGGCCTATCAAGCCGAGTTGTTGGAGGAGCTGGGCACTCAGCTGGACGCCGGCAATCCAAACCCGGTGGTCTGAGAGGAGATCTGCAACATAACGGATCTCAATCTGCGCACCTCACATGGCGCGGTACAAAGCTGCGGCCGTACCATGGCTCTTGCCGTTGCGGGCGAGAGGTCGCTGTGGCTAAATCTATCGAGTGTCGGGGACAGGGAGAAATCAGATTTTCTCGACCCTCCTATGGATTTGAGTGGATTGTTCGGCCCAGCCGTTGCAGCGATGAGACAGAGGTGCGACCTCCAGAAGAAGGCAGGCGAGGCGTTTGACATCTGTCTGCCACATAAAAGAGCACTGAGTCCTCCTGTTCCCCCGCGTCCTGTTCCTCCGTCTCAGAACAGGAGGTTTTTGAATGCGTCCAGGACTGCAAAACCCCAGAGCACGAAGC